TCTGTTCTGGATGCTAGGTTCCACCCCTAGCATATGTCTGAAGATAATGCAAAACTGGTAATATACATGTATCAAATATATTAAAGAACAAAACTGAGATTCAAAATGAGCTCAGAAAGGCTGGAATAGTGGGCTGTTGCATTCTTTTCATGGCCCAGAAAAGGGGAGCTGGTGCTAAGGGATATGCCCTTTAGTGCTGGGCAGAAGGAGCCAGGGATAGGTCAATGTGGTTTTTAAAATTATTTTCACAGGATTGTGCAACCATCATTACAAACTAATTTTAGAACATTCCCCCACCTCAGAGCAACTTCATACCCAACAGCTGTTATTCCCCAGTCTTCCCAGCTGTACCCCTATCCAGTGATAAACACTAATCTACTTTTAAGTCTCTGGATATTTCATGTAAATGGAATCTTTCAATATGTCATCTTTTTCTGACTGGCTTTTTTCAGTTATATTTGCAGAGTTCATCTATATTGTAGCTTATGTTAGTACTTAATTACTTTTTATTGCTGATTAAAATTCTATTATGTGTATACACCCCAACATCTCAACTATTCATTTATCAGTTGATGAAATTTGGTCTTCTTGTCAGCATATGTTCTAAGTGTGTTCCAAGATTGTGGGGCTTTTTTAATTTTTTTCTTTGTAGTTTATTCAGTTGGAAAACTGGTTTGTCTTCAGCGTTTTCACAATCTGAGACGTCATTTCACGTTTTCATATGCAGTTGTGTTTTCTCTTAATGTTTAGCTCTAGAGGTTCAATCCAGACACAGGGTTGATGTTTCTTGGCAAGAATGTTTAACAGGCATACTGTCTTCTTTCACCAGAAGGCTTATAACATTGGGGCATTGATTTTGTGATGTTAGCAGACAGTATCATTGTTTAGCTCCAGTAATTCATTAGGAGTTTAAAACTTGGTGCCTATTTCTCAAGAAATTAATCTGAAATCTTTTTTGTTTTTTTTTTTACATTATAGTTTCAAATTTGTTACTGTTTGACTATGAGAAAGTGATGTGTATATGTCATTGTGTACCTTATTAGATTATTCCTATAAATCCCTGTTATGGGTTGTGTCTGGATGTCCCCTCAAAGCCTCATGTGGTCATCGGGGATAGGCTTTTCAGAGGTGGCCAAATCTAGAGTTTGTGATTGATTCATGGCCCAATGATGGGATTAAATGTATGAGTGCTACACGCGCTTTATGGTGAGTAGCCTGCATACAATATAAAGAACAGAAAGAGGTTTGTCTCCCTTCCCCTCTTTCTTTCTTGTTGCTTTTGCTTCCTTGTAGGTGCCATGATCTGTTCTCTGTCATGTGCTACCCTGTCTTGGAGCCCATCAATTATGGACTGAAACTTCTCTGAGCTAAATAAACCTTTCCTCCCTTAACTTTGGGTGTTGTGTATTTTGTTCCAGCAATGAGAAAAGTAACTAAAACAGTCCTTATGGGTTTTCCCAGGATTATCCAGAACTTTCTAGATGATAATACCATATGCATTTAGTGTTTCTGAAAGAACCCTTCTTTTTTTCTTATAACACTGCATTGCTAGGACATCAGAACACTGTGGTCAACATCAGTGGTGAAGGTACCTCCTCATTACAGGTTTACACACACCCAAATATAGAGATACATGATTTCTCTCTGGTGTTGTAACTGGGGGGCCAGATTCAGCAGACAGATTTAGGCCTGCCTTTTGTTGTCCACAACACATGTAGCTCTGCATTCAGGGACCACAGAGAGCCCCAAACTGCAGGACTCCAGCCAGCCTCAGCTGAAAATAATGACTGGCCGGTCTGTTCTAAATAAAGCACCACCACACAAAAAGGAAGTGTGCTGAGGTGTATAAACTGCAGACCAAGCACACAAGCTTCCAACCTGCTGCCAGGGACAGTGTTGAAGTATTGTCTGTTTGAGTGCATTTTCTCCATGGAAAACGTCTGGCACCTGCTGTGGCCATGAAGAGCACTCAGGCTCTTCCTGGACAGGTAGCCAGGCTGGGGAAAAAGTTGGTACACACATTTAAGGATTTTTTTTTTTTTTAAGGTGAGAAAGACAGCATAGTCCTGTATTCTTTCCAGGAGTTTCCCTGTTTCTCAAGCAGAATTTCAGGGCAGGTCTTAAGGTTACTAACCCAGTCACAAAGAGGACAGGGGATTGGCAGGGAGACCAATGGGGTAGCGTGACTTTCTCCTTGGGCTGTGTTCCCATAGCTCTGAGCTGCTGATATCTTTCCCAGGGAGGGAATCCTTGCAGAACACTGAAACCTGAAGCCCTTGAGACCTGGAGAACCTTAGCAAAAACTCTCTCTAAGAGGAATTGAGTTCCCAGACACTCAGGACCCAAGCACTTGCTTACAATTGGAGAGAAGAACCATTCTCCTATCTGCCGAATGTCAGCCTTGTGAGTGAGCCAATGGGGCAGCTACTCAACCTGTAGGTTTTTAACAGGATTGTGTACAAAAACAATGCTTGTGCCTTTTTCCCCTCTAACAGAAAAGCCAGAGAAAAAAGTATAGTAGTGAGTAGACACAACATCTTACAAGCTTCCTGGGTTGAGGAAGTTGGATTTCTCCACTATAGTTTCTCCTTTCTTTGCAACATCAGCACGGGCTAGGCCCTTCCTGGCACTGCACAGGCACCCCCAGCACCGACCAGTCTCTAGTCCTCAGCTCTGCTGAATGGCCTGTGTGACAAGCACACTGAGCTGAGAAGTGCAGCTGCTCTCACTGCCGCTAACTGAAGGACCACTAGCAGTGAGTCAGATTTCAAGAGTACTACTTGAACTCCTCTGGGAGGGCCAGGGCTTCCGGGGGAGGTCTTGGGTCAGCCTGAGACTCCCAGCCTGGAGCCTTTTCATCACTCACACCCAGCAGACCAGGAACATTGGGGAGACATGGAGGGAGGGCCAGACATGGGAAGTGGTGAATTAAATGAGTGGTATCAGGGAATAAGGGTGGTATGGTCAGAAAGACAGGTAGCCAATCCAGCTGGTAGCATAACTTACAGATACAATTCCAGCCAATTTTCATAGGCCACAAGCAGTATCTAGCCAGCCCTTCAGCTCCCCAGCCAGTCAACCAATCCCTTGGCCAGACAGACTTTCAAATGGACAGAATCCCAGAGCAACAGACTCCCAGATGGACAGCCAGCCAGACAAATGGGCAGATTCTTGGACAGATGGAAGATGCATCTCCCCACCTCTCACCACAGCCAGATATCCAGAAAGACCTGTGGCCAGGGAGAAATAACGCACCCCTTCCCAGAGTGGTTGGAAATTGGACCGCATATTCCAAGCAGATGACAGAACCCCTTCCCAGTTGACAAAAAGAGTGTTATCTCAGTTGAGAGACAGCTAACCCACCTAGTCAGCCTTCAGCTGGATTGACAGACTTATCCTACACCCATAAGATAAACCACAGCCTATGAGGAAGATATCTAAGCAGGAGCTTGCCTTCTAGATGGACAGTTCCTGACCAACCTCTCCAGGCAGACAGGTAGACTCTCAGCTCAGTCCCTGCCAAGCCAGAAGATATATAAACTAGCAAGGCAGAGACCCTAGTTGAGGAATCAGCCATCCTATTCCTGCTTACCACCATAGATAGTCCAGTGACTCCTCAGTGCTGCCACTGCTCCTACTGACCACCGAAGTACAGGACCATTGTCCTCCAGTGACATCCACTAACATTACAGTCCAGAGACATTTCCTGATCCCTCAGTGACTTCCCCATTTATTCTGGCATCCCTGACTGCTGTTAGCAACTCAAGGATTCAGAGAGCCTCCACAACTTCCTCAACAAACCTGTTTTCTACAAATCTATGGATGCCACCTCCTGAGTCTCCAAAAACTCTTGACGATCCACAAAATATCAGTGATGATTCCACTGGCATTCACTGTTCAACAGGCACTTCCCTAACATGACTGTTTAGTAACTAAACACTAAATTGTAATGACCCCTGAATTTTTCTTTCACTGACCTCCCTGAGATTGTCATTAATATCCACTGACCTCAATTTAATGATCACTGCTGACCCCATTGGAACACTCGAGTGTCCACAGCCACTTCCACTGACCCCACTATAAGCAAACCCTCCAGCTGTTTGACCTTTGATATCTGAACTGAAACTGAAACTATAGTCAGCAGGTCAAAAAAAAATTGAATTTAAAAAATTGAGACAGGAAAATTATATGAAATTCAAAGTTCAGTGTCCATAAAGTTTTATTTGAATATAGCAACACTCATTTTTTTTGTATTGTCTGGCTACGTTGGTGCTGCCCCATCAGAATGAAGTAGCCGAAACAGAGGCCAGAGACAGCAAAGCCAAAACCACTTCCTATCTAGGCTTTTTTATAAAAGTAGCCATCCCTAATTTAAACATTCTGATGACCTCTAATGAATTACATTGGCATATTACCAATAACTCTGTTGACCTTCCAGTGACTTGAAGCACAACTTCAGTCCCCAGTGTTACGCTTTGACACTACAATCTTACATTGGTGTCTACTGACAGCCCCTTCAATAACACCCTTAGGATTCTTCCCTGACGCCGGTGAGCAGCATCAGCCCATGACCATGACTCAGGCCTGTCCTTGAAAGACTTCTTGGCACCTGTCCACTCTGCAGCCTCCAGGCCCCCATGGGGACTGCAGCTGTCCTCCGACCTGCACGTTTGCTGGATCTGGGGCAGAAAAAGAAGCCCTTTAAAAGTGTTGAGAACACTTCGAACCTTGGAACCTGTTTTCAGTGTCTCGAGTCTCAGTTTGGCAGAAACTGAAGGCTGAGATCCTAAAGACTGGATCCTGTGGTACCAAGCTTCCCCAGCTGATCCCGAATAAAGATGGAACCTTAGGAAATGCACAGGTGCAGACGCTTCTGCTCCGTCTTTACAAAGCAAGGGGTGGCCCTGTGTACTTTTTCCTCGCAGCCACCTCCTCCTCGGACTTTCCTCCGATCCAGCTGCCGCGCACGGCGCTGACGTCCCCCACTAGGGGGTCCAGAAGCTGCAGGAGCTCTCAGGCGGCCATGCACCGCTGGGCTGAGACCCCACGCAGGCTGGCCCAGGAGGACCGACGAGGGGCACGGTCACCCATCCCGAGCCGGCACCTGGAGGTCAGCCGGGCGGATCAGGGTCAGGCCGAAGACGCCACAGGAGTTTGTGGGACGGTGCGGATTCGATCTACACGGCGCGGCAACACGAGACAAAACCAAGGGAACAGGGAAGCGCCCGTAGGACTGGCTGCTCTGCGGGACAAAGGTCCCCGATCGCTGCTGTGGGCAGGGCCAGAGAACTCCGCTGCCATTGGCCCGGGCGCGCTCCGAGGCCGGCCTCCCCTCGGCCTCGGCCCGCAGCCTCCCAGAGCCCCCAAGCCCCACGGCTCGGCAGCGCCATGGCCCGCAGCCTGGATGCGGCGCGGCGCTTCCTGCAGCGGCTGGAGGCACGCGGCGGCCGCGAGGGGGAGGCCCTGGCTCGCGAGTTCAGCGTGAGTGGCCGAGCCGCGCGGGGCTCGCACCTGGGCGGGCGGACCCTGTCCCCGGGCGCTGCCCCTTCCTCTCTGGTCCCAGCTGTGCCCGCCCCAGGGCCCTGCTCCCTCCCCACCCCGGCACTTCTATCGCTCTCGCGCGCGGTCTCGCCTTCCCCTCTGCCCGCGGGGCCCTACAGTGCCAAGTCCCGCCGCTGGACGGGGTCCGGGAGCCCCGGGACGATTTCTGCTTGCGGCGGGCGCAGCTGGCGGGGGGTGCGGGGGCGAGTTCGCCTGGCCCCGGGCGACCTGAGAGGCCCTGCGATCCCGGGGAGTCAGTACGCGGGGAAAAGAAGACCCGAGAGCGGCAGTGCCAGGATACGGCCGTCAGCATCGGATCAGCGCTCTGTCTACTCCGGGCTATGACTCAGGACAGTTTACTCCCCCGTCTGGCCTCAGTTTCTCCTTTAAGTTAATGACCCAACTGGCTGGAGAGTATGTGCAGGGTAGGGGTAAAAAGGCTTTGTCAAGCGCTTCGGTAGATGTCATTGTCATCACTTACAAAGTTTCTAAGCATTGCAGTAGTAGTGTAAACTAAGCCCAGTGAGTGCTAATGTAGCTCCGAGGGCACAACATCCTACAGGTAATGAAATAATTAAAATTTAATAACGTATTACCAAATATAGAAACATACTATGCAAACATGTAAACACAATGTATGATTACTTATATCTAATTTAGAAATATGTGATATAACTATATAAACATAAATGTGATTTTATTTATTTATTTATTTATTTTTTGGTTTTTTTTCCTCTGGTACCGGGAACCGAACTCATGACCTTGCGCTTGCCAGGCAGGCACCATAAATGTGATTTTAAATGACAGTTTACACAAAAACTTCATAAAACAGTACAATAGCATAAATATTAATTTAAAATCCATGGTTATACGGTAAGTTCATCAAGAAACAAAATAGCACAGATAAGTATGAAATTAAATGTACACATATGAAATATTGTAGTATATAAATTAGAAATGCATAATAAATGTAAAATATATAACTTATAAATATGAAGATGTACAGAACAGTAACAGCATCCCTATGGCATGTGAAGATTTGGTTGCTGACCCACTCTGGGCCCCTGTTGAGAGGGTTGGGTGGAGCGCGCCCCCTGCCTCAGGGCCTGGATTTGTCTTCTACGAGGAAGGCATTGCCCAGACACTCGGGCGTCCTGGAAGACTGGAATGATCCAATGGACAATAGTGCAGGACTCGGAAGGGCGACTTTCAAACAATGGTGCATTGGCAGGTGTTATTCATTATCACTGTGATTGTGACTACCTGATGAAGATAGTAATGGACTCTTCACTCATCATAAATCACCTACCAATAACCAAGTACCTGTGCTATCGTATTACATCAGTAACATATTAGACATTGTAACTCACTACAGTACATATGGCAATCATTTGTTTTGTTATATAAATAATATATTGCACACACTACCACTGACTACACCCTCAGCCCATATGTAATTAATTGTTATTGTTTACAGTACAATGTAGCATGAATTGAGAGTCCAGGGGCAGGTACTAACAGGTCTCAGTTCGACTAACAGGTCTCGTGTTCCATCACCTTTCTCCCCTGCACCGGGAGGATGATGCCAGGAATGATGTTCACTTCTGTAGGATCCTGCGATGGTGACACGCCCTTAGTGGGGGGCCCCGGTGTGGCCCAGTGCAGAGCAGGCTCTGCGCTATGGGAGTGTGTGTTTTGTATTCTTGGTCCTCAACTCTGACCTGGTTGCTCTCCTCATCTCTCCTCCCCACTTGCTCACCCTACCTCTCTCCAGGACATCCGAGCCTGTTCTGCCACCTGGAGGACTGATGATGTGTGTTCCACAGAGGTGGGCAGTCTGCCCAGCAATGTGAGGAAGAACCGCTACAAAGATGTGGTGCCATGTAAGTAAGGGGCTTGGGACGAGCAGGGGCCTCTGCGTGTGTGCGTTCCCCTGCCAGGTTTCACGCCTTTTTCACCCCAAACTCTTAAATCTCTCACCTTACCCACTGGCAGATGATCAGACACGAGCGATTCTCTCTCTGCTTCAGGAGGAGGGCCATGGTGACTACATCAATGGCAATTTCATTCGGGTCAGGCTGGTAGTCAGGGAAGGGGGAGGACTAGGGCTGCTGAGGGTGGGTAGTGGGATCTTCACAGTAAATGGGTCTTTCTCAGGGTGCAGACGGAAGCCAGGCCTACATCGCCACACAAGGACCCCTGCCTCACACTCTGCTAGACTTCTGGCGCCTGGTCTGGGAGTTTGAGGTCAAGGTCAGACTTGGGGGGAAAAAGGGGGGCATGATTTTGAGTCTGCCCATGGCTGTTTCCTCTAATCTAAGTCACCACCTCCCCTAGGTGATCCTGATGGCATGTCGAGAGACAGAGAATGGGCGGGTAGGTGCCCCCTCCACCCCAGTGCTGTGGCCGGTGCAGGGAAGAGGAAGAAGGAATCTTGTATTCTCCTCCCTGACCCTAGGGCCTGAAAGCTCAATTCCTGGAGTGGTCTCACAGTGGATCTGTGGGAAGCCACTATTCCTCTCTAATTTTGCCTCAGTCTTTTTCCTTTTGTTCATGGGGCTAATTCCTTTTCTCCTGCTGGGGTTCCCATGCAAGGTACACCACAGACCATAAGGCTCTACTGACTTGTTCCTGACTCTGCCTCTTTGCACCTTCCACTTCCCTGAAACCATGCTGGCCTCTATTAGTCTTCAGATGTGCCAGCAGGCACCCTGCTGTAGATTTGTGTCTTGACCATTTCCCCTGCTTGGGACCTTTCTCCCCAGGGCTACTCCTACTGGCTTCTTCTGGTCTTTACTTCTCTGAGACCTTCCTGGAGCCTCATATCATTCAGACTCTCACCATGCCAACTCTTCCTACTCTCCCTGTTTTCTTTGTAGTTCTTACAAACTTGTAACATACTAGATAATTCAAAATATGAAATGCCAAGCAGGTGCTTGTCAAAATCTTGGAATAGGTTTTTGTAGAAAATGCATCCATAAACTGGTATCCCCTTCTCTTTTTGTATTTTAAAGAGAATTTTTGAAAAGAACAATAGCAAAATATCAACAACATAGATGAAAACAGAATAAAGCAAAAACAACAAAATTATACAGGGTTTAAGAACGAAATGATAGGAATTAACAGTGGTTGTTATATTACATATTGTTAACTTCAACAAAATTGCTCACATTAGCAGATGTAAGAGTGCAAGATTGATCAAACCATTCAAGAGAATAAAAAATAAAAATTAGAAAATTAAAAATACAAAATGCACTCCATATACACTATTACTTTTGCTTTTAATTATCTTTAAAGAAGAGCTTTATTGAAATACAATCCATACATTTAAAGCATATAATTAAGGAGCTTTTAGTGTATTCTTGAGTTAGCAACTATCCCCACAAGAAATTTAGAACATTTTAATTATCCAATTACTAGGCACTGCCCATTTCCCAGCCACTATGCACATAGGCAACTCCCAATATATTTCCGGTTTCTACAGATTTGCCTACTGCAGACGGTTCATATCATTGGAGTCATACAACATGTGGTCTTTTGTGACTGGCTTCTTTCATGTAGTGTGTTTTTAAGGTTCATGATATTATAACATGTATTAATTAATTTCCTTTTATTGTTGACTAATATCCCTTTGAATGGATATACCAGATTTTACTTATGCATTAAGCAATTTATGGAATTTGAGTTATTTTTAGTTTGGGCTGTTATTAGTAATGCTGTTATGAACATTCATATAATAGTCTTTGTGTAGACATATATTTTCATTTCTCTTTGAGTATTATTGAGCAGTGGAATTTCTGGATCATAAAGGAACTCTATTTTTAACACTTTGAGGAAATGACAAGCATTTCCCATAGTAGCTACATCATTTGACTTTCTTATCAGGAATGTGTGATGGTTTCAATTTTTTAATATCGTCATTTGTTGTCTTGTCTTTTTTTATAGCCATGCTAGAGAATGTGAATTAGTTTTTCATTGCGTCTCTTTTAAACTTATTCTGAAATACACATAAATTTGTCTTTTAACCATTTAAAGTATATAATTCAGTGGCAGCAAGTATATCACACTGTTGCACAACCATCATCATTATCCATTTCTAGAACTTGTTTATCATCCCAAATGTAAACTCTGTACTCAGAGTTTAAACAACACTAACATTTAAACAACTCCCAAATCCTGACCACCTCTACTCTGTTTTCTGCCTTTATTAATTTGTCTATTCTAGGTACATCCTAAAAGTAGAATCACAGAATACTTATCTTTTTATCACTGGTTTCTTTCACTTAATATGTTTTCAAGGTTTATCCATGTATCAGAATATTATTCTTTCTAAAGTTGAATAATATGTAATTGTACATATGTGTCACATTTTGTTTACCCACTCATCTTGTTGATAAACATTTGAGTTGTTTCTGTCTTTTAGCTATTGTGAATAATGCTGCTTATGTGTATTAATAAATATGTTTGCATCTCTATTCAGTTCTTGGGTATGCATCTAAGGTAGGATTGCTGGGTATATGACCATTCTATGTTGATGTTTCCTACAGAGACTACATCATTTTGTATTTCCAACTAAAGTATGCAAGAGGTTGCAATTTCTCCTCATACTTGTCAACACTTGCTATTTTATGCTTTCCATTAGCAAAACCACTCATTGTGGTTTCGGTTTTCATGTGCTATTTGTCCAGTTGTGTATGTTCTCTGGACAAACATCTATTCAGACAATTTAGCCTTTTATTTTTTTGAGACAGGGTCTTCCTATTCAGCTTAGGCTGATCTTGAACTCACTCTGTAACCCAGGCTAGCCTGAAACCTATGGCACCCTCCTGGGTCAGCCTCCTGAGTGCTGGGACTACAGGCATGCACTACCATGCCTGGCCTTGGCTATTTTTAACTGAGTTATTTGGGGCTGTCTTTTTTATTATGAACTTATAAGAATTCTTCTGGCTACATGTTCCTTATAAATACATGATTGACAATATCTTTCCCATTCTGTGAGTTGTCAATTCACTTTCTTGATGGAATCCTTTGAAGCGTATTTTTTAAAAACTTTGATGAATTACAATCTATTTTTTGTTTATGCTTTCTGTTTTATATCTAAAACATTGTCTAATCAAAGGTTATAAAAATGTGCTCCTAAACTTCCTCCTAAGTGTTTTATAATGTTATCTTTTAGCTTTGGATCTCTGATTCATTTTAATTTTTGTATATAATGTGAAATATGTGGCCAGATTCATTCTTGTGCATGTGCGTATCCATTTGTCCCAGCACAATTTTTTTTCTTGGTACATACACGTACCATAGCTTGGTAGAGGTACATAATGATAACATTCATCATAAAGAATTTGTACCTGTACATGATATATCTTGCTTCTTTTTTTCTCCATTCCCTTCCACTCCCTTCACTCTTCTTCTCCTCCTCATTTATAAAAGCTTTGTTTCCATTTTTTCCCTTCTGTTCTCTATTTTTCTTGTCCCTTCCTTCCTTCCTTTACCCTCCCTCCTCCATTGTTCCCCTTTTAATTTGAACATTTTCTTCCCATTTAACAATGTCTACTATACAGTTTGTTCCTTATTTACACTTTTGGTTTCTCACACCAGAGATAAGTGTCCAATTTATTTCACTTAAGAGTATGGCCTGTAGGTGCACCCATATACCTGGAAATGTCTCAGGCTTGTCCTTTCTTATGGCAGAGTAGTACTCCATTGTATAAAATGAACCACATCTTTACCCATTCATCAGTTGATGCATTTGGGTTATTTTCAAGATTTAGCTATTACAAATTATGCTGCTATAAACATGGGTGTGCATATATTGCTGTGGTATGATGCTTTTAATTATTTGAGGAAGATGACAAGAAGAAGAATAGCTGAGTCAAATAGACCCTCTGTTTTAGTTTTTTTTTTTTTTTTTTTTTTTTTTGTTTTTCTCCGGTACCAGGAACTGAACTCACGACCTTGCGCTTGCCAGGCAGGCGCTTTTGCCGCTGAGCTAAATCCCCAGCCCCCTGTTTTAGTTTTTTGAGAAATCTCCACAGTGATGTCCATTGTAGTTGCACAAGTCTACATTCCCACCAACAGTGCAGAAGGGTTCCTCTTTCCCCACAGCTCCATCAGCATTTGTTATTGGTTGATATTTTGATAGTAGACATTCTTTATGGGGTAAAATGGAATCTCAGCATAGTCTTAGTTTGCATTTCTTGAATGACCAGTGATGTTGAACATTTTTTTATGTATTTATTTGCTGTTTTGTACTTCATTTGAGAAGGGTGTGTTTATCTTAGGTGCCCACTTTTGGATCGGGTCTTTAAATTTGGAGGGTTGTTTGTTTGTTTTAGTTCTTTATATATTCTAGATAGTAGTCCTTTTTCTGAGGAATAGCTGGCAAAAAATTTTTCCCACACTTGGTTTGTCTCTTTACTCTATTGTTGGTTTCTTTTGCTGTGCAAAGCTTTTTAATAAAATGAGATCCTGGTTAGTTTTTTGTGATATTTCCTATGTGATGCAGATTTTGTTTATAAAATCTTTGCCTGCACCTACATCTTCAAGAGTTCTACCTAGGGCAGAACAACTGGGATGGAGGAAAGGAGAAAAGAAGGATACACACACACACACACACACACACACACACAGCTAAAATAATTGTACTACTAATCTCTATTGTTTTATTGAAAAGAACAGTGAATGCTTAATTGTTTGATCAATCTTGCATGCCTATATCTGGTAATCTGAGCAACTATTTTGAAGATAACAATATGTAATATAACAAATATTGTTAATTTCCTATCACCTTGTTTTGAAATTCTGTATCATTTTTATTGCTTTTTTGTTGTTTTATTTCTGTCTTTATTTTTGTTTTTTGGTTGTTTTCTCTTTAAAATAAAATTTTAAAAAAGAGTTCTACCTATTCTATCTTTGAGCAGATTTAGGATTTCTGTTTTAATATTTAGATCTTTGACCTATTTCAATTTTAATTAGTACATGGTGAAAGGCATGGGTTTAGTTTAAATCTTCAGAATATAAAAGGCTAGTTTTTCCAGCACCATTTATTAAAGAGGCTATCTTTCTTCCAGTGAACATGTTTAGCCCCTTTGTCAAAGATAATGTAGTTGAGTGGTTTGGAATTTTTTCTGAATCTTCCATTCTGTAGCATTGATCCTCAGGCCTATTTTTTGTACCATGCTATTGTTTTTATTACAGTAGCTTTGTAGTATAATTTTAGGTCAGGAATTGTGATGCTCCCTGCCTTGCCTTTGTTGTCCAGAATTTCTTTCACTAGTATAGGTCTTTTCTATTTTGAAATGAATTTTAGGATTGTTTTCTCTAATTCTGTGAGAAATGCTATTGGTATTTTCATCAGAATTGCAATAAATCAG